CCAGTTTGCAGGCTTCCCCTAGGTATCTGGTTAACCACTGAGAGAATAGGATGGTGGACTAGATGGGCCTTTGGCCTGATGCTTCTTATGTTCTTGTGATGTTCCATTGAGTTCTGGAAAGTGCACATGAGGTTGAGACCAAGGGGTGACATGTTCAGGAATATCCTGGCTGAGTGGGCAGTGGGAGTGATGGAGCAATGTCTTCTTCCATAGTAAATGACACCTTAGACCTCCTTGCTTAAGTGCTCTGCTGGATCTGTGCCCAAATGCAGCTATCATGATGCCTTAGAATTTTGACTTGCACTAATATTTAGATCACAGTCTAACAGTGTTACACCTTCCTGCCATTTCTACATGGAGAATCATTTCTAAAAGCCTTCTTGTTTTCACATGTTAAAAAGTCAAATCTGGGCTCAAGTAATCCCAGTAAACAATTATTTCACAAAACTGCATTTCCAGCACACATATAATCAGATGCTTAAAATGCCGAAAAGACAAAGACAGAAGTAGACATTAAAATGATCTTAAAGATTTGAAATAAATAAAAACAGTGATTAAGAGGGCAGAAACCATTACAGTAAAAGTTTGCGTTATTCAGCATTATGAAAGGAAAACATTAATTAACCCACATCTATGTAGGAGGATGAAAAAAAATCCTTCCTTAACGTCAAATTTTAAGTACCATTTTTAGGCTATTCCGAACAGATTCAGTTAAGAGTAGAATGAAAAGAGGGATGTTGTAGGCCACCTTCAGTTTTATTTGTTGACACAGGAATGTTTGATTATTAGTGATACAGAGAAGAAATTATTGGACACAGAAATAAAAAAGAGCTATGAGGACAGGCACAACTTTCACCTAGAAAACATTTTAGGGTTTTTGAAAATAGCTCTCATATTTACAGGGATGAGATGAGAAACAAGCACCTCCCCCCTTCATACCCTTGAATTTTCTGATGTTTCTTCCAAGATGTATCATGAAATGCCACAGTTATGCTAACTGAAAATGTTTTCATTTAGACATCTGAATGCATTTGAAATTAATATATAGATGCCCTTTGCTAAGGTCACTGGAAAACAAATGTAAGGTCCCCTTTACATTCAAAATGAATCTCAGTTTTGGGAGTTCGAAATGTAATAAGTGATTAAACCTCCCAAACTACCAGATTAAGTCTGTGTCCAGTGAGAGCCTAGGAAGGCTTTTGCACAATGTACCAAGCGTGGAAGGAGTCTGGAAGAAGCAGGAAGCAGACTGAAGGGTTCAGGGAGCAGGATTTAGATAGCTAGGGCTACAAGACCAGAGAGAGCTTACATGCTGGGCAGATGTTTTTTCAACAAAAGCCAGGGACAATTGTCTGTATGCAGTTACTTTCCTGTGGGAGGTGACAGGAGCATGAGAAACAATCAAGAACTTTGCTTGCTCAGTAGCAACTTCTTCATATCTTTCCCATGCTGTCTAGTGTGGTAGAATGGATGGGTTGAGATAAGTAAGTGGACCACTGCAGAAGAGAGAACCAGCAGGCCTTTCTGGCTGTTGTGTGCATCTGGGAGTGTGTTTTGCTGCTAGTACGAAAAGAAATGCATGCCTTGTTGAGTGTATTATAAACTGCCTTTTTTATATTCAGAAGTTGTGACTCCTGGACAAATGAAGAATCCAGATTCTGATTTGGACATTTTAAGAGGGACAACACTTCAAAAAAGAATAGAGGGAATCAAATCCCAGCTTTCATTCCAATTGCACCACTCAGTTAGAATGTGGGATAGACTTCAGGCCTGTTGGATTCACTTTGTTTATTACTAGAACTTCCAAATCTGTCAACCATAAGAGCCTAAGAAGAGCCCTGCTGGATCAGATCAGAGACCCATCTAGCCCAGCAGCTTGTTCTCACAGTGGCCAACCAGATGCCTGTGGGAAGCCCATATAGAGGACCTGAACACAAGTTCTTCCTGCTTGTGATTTCCAGCAGTTTGGAGGGATACTGCCTTGACAGTGATCATAGCCATCATGGCTAATAGCTATTGATAGCATCCATGAAGCACAGTCATGTCCAAAAACCATACTGTTAGAATGGGAAAACAGGGTGCCTCTGTGCACACATTGAAGCTAGGCATTTGTGTCAGTACCAGAACCATTCTTGGTTACCCTTCTTTTGCATTTTCAAAGGGGGAAAGTCTTGGGGGAAAGTCATTTTATTGTTTGGAACTGTCCAACAGTTTGGGATCAGAAATTCTTGATGAACTACTGCAAATCACCCAGGGATCTAACGGTAGATTCCCATATGCCTTCTGTCCACTCCTCTATGAGTTTCCACCTTTTTACTTGACTTCCACCTTTGCTGTCAGAAAGCAGCCTGACACACAGTTAAAGGTCTTTATACTTCTTATTGCCAGGCCAGGAGTATCTTCACCCATAGGGCATCTCCTTTGCACCCAATAAAGCCAAAACAGAATCCTGTGTTCACATGCTCCAGGTTTTCCACAGCTGGTAAAGCAATGCTTGGCCTGTAGAGAAGACCTTGCAAAGCACTGGAAGCCTATTGCTGCCCATGGAGGTATCAACTCATCTTTTCAGTTATTCTGTTATTTGAGTCCCTCCCAGGGACCTGATCAGTCTTGTCCTTGTTCTGGTTCTGCCATGAAGAAAAGCAATGGAGAGAAGTGGCTGAATGATCTTTTATAAATGTATATTTTGGTGGACTTTTAGACTATGTCACACTGACCAAAGTCAGTGTTGTGACGTGTGCCTAACTTGTGCACTCAGTTTCACTCTGGAAATGTTTAAAACTGTGGGGTGTTGTAATTTGAACAGATATCAGAACTTCCACAAAACTGATTTAGTGTGATAGAACCACTGAGAAAATGTCAACATGTTGGACTCTTAAAAGATGGTTGTGTAGATCAGCCTAGATTTTGAGGAACACATGCTTTCGTTTAGACTATTGCAGAGCTATTCAAGACTGGTACAAGGCTGAGTTGCTGTACTAAGAAATATTGAGCATAGGCAACTTTGACATTTAGGAAAGGGGTAGTGTAACTTGTTCTAGAGAATTAGGTAGAGCTGAAAAGCAAATCTGTGGTTCTGGCTGTGGCAGAAGCAGGTTGAAATGGACCACCAAATATTTGTTGAATCAAATGCAGTTTCAGTGACTTCTACAATGCAGTAAGGTACAGCAAATGGATAATGAGACCTACTGTGTTAAAGAAGACGAGTTGCATGAATCATGAGTAAAAGGAGGGAGAAGCAAAGGAAATACATCCCACTTTTCTTTCTCATCAGATTTGGTGCAGAGAGTCCATGTGAGGTTGTACATGTTTCTGTGGCCTGTTTGGTGCTGGCGTTTGCCTTTGCTGCTAGCTGCACCTATTATTCAGAGAGCAAAATGCTGATCTCTGATTGAAACCTTAGTTGATTAATTGGTTACAAGCAAATGACAAGGCAAACAGGGTGTGTCCCTCTCCTGCTTTAGGGCAGAAGATGATAACTGGCTGAGATGCCGTGATATAGTACAATTAGAGGGTGAATCTCTCTATTTTGCTTGCTCTCTGGTTGAAACCAGGGCAGATCCATACCACAAGCTTGTTCAAACCAGGTGATTTCCCTCAAAGGTTCCTGGAGACTGTAATCTGGTGAAGGCAATGAGACGTTTTTGGCTGAGAAGCTTAGCATCACTCTGTTCCAGGATTCCTTGGAGAGAGAGTATAACTACTAAATACGTTTTATGTCTGTGGTGCAGAAAAGTCATGAGTGGCTCAGCTTTGTGGTAGTCTTTATATCAGGGGTGGGGAACTGCTACTCCCATTATTCTTGATCATTGGCTTTGCTGGTTGAGGCTGATGGAGTCTAACAACATCTGGAGAGCCATGGGTTCCCATCCCTGGTGTAGATCAATGAGTGTTTTGTTGTTTCTGCTAAGCCTGTGTAGGAAAAATGTTGCAGAAAAAAAGACCTTTCATCCAGGAATCATGGAATTGGAGGGGTGCTTGCAGATTACCTACTCCAGCCCCTTGTTTGATTCAGGAAATCCAGAACTATTGACATTCCCAACATATGGCTGTCCAGCTTATGTGTGATGAAGACCTTCAGTAAGAGAGAGCTTGCCCACCCCAGATAATTGGTTTCACTGTCAAATTGCTCTTAAGATTAAGACTTTGGACCAATATATACTCTCCTGGAACTTAAGCCCATTAGATTTAATTAAGAGCCCTGATGGATCGGGCCACCAGCCCATCTGGTCTAGCATCCTGTTCTCACAGTGGCTAAGCAGATGCTTCTGGAAATCACCCAATAGCTCCCTCCCCACTTGTGATTCCCAGCAATTGACATTCAAAGAAGCCTACTTTCTCTGATAACATAGGATAACGTAGTTCTCGCCTTTGAGGCAGCAGAGGACAACTTTTTGTACTCTTCTATGTCACAGCAGGGGACGCGGGTGGCGCTGTGGTGTAAACCACAGAGCCTAGGGCTTGCCCATCAGAAGGTCGGCAGTTTGAATCCCTGCAATGGAGTGAGCTCCCGTTGCTCGGTCCCTGCTCCTGCCAACCTAGCAGTCCGAAAGCACGTCAAAGTGCAAGTAGATAAATAGGTACTGCTCCAACGGGAAGGTAGCAGAAGGATAACGTAGTTCTGGCCTTTGAGGCAGCAGAGGACAACTTTTTGTACTCTTCTATGTCACAGCAGGGACGCGGGTGGCGCTGTGGTCTAAACCACAGAGCCTAGGGATTGCTGATCGGGAGGTCAGCGGTTTGAATCCCCACAATGGAGTGAGCTCCCGTTGCTCAGTCCCAGCTCCTGCCAACCTAGCAGTTCAAAAGAACCCCAAAAAGTGCAAGTAGATAAATAGGTACTGCTCCAACAGGAAGGTAAAAGGCGTTTCCATGCACTGCTCTGGTTCGCGGCTTAATCATGCTGGCCACATGACCCGTAAAAACTGTCTGCGGACGAACGCCGGCTCCCTCGGCCTATAGAGCGAGATGAGCGCGCAACCCCAGAGTCATTTGCGACTGGACTTACCTGGCAGGGGAGACACCTTGATCATGAAGGAGGTTTTCCCAGGGTGAGGCTCATCCATAGCACTTCAGGTATTTGAAGACTACTATCATCTTTCCATGAAGGGACGTGGGTGGCGCTGTGGGTTAAACCACAGAGCCTAGGACTTGCCGAACAGAAGGTCGGCGGTTCGAATCCCCGTGACGGTGTGAGCTCCCGTTGCTCGGTCCCTGCTCCTGCCAACCTAGCAGTTTGAAAGCACATCAAAGTGCAAGTAGATAAATAGGTACCGCTCCGGTGGGAAGGTAAGCGGCGTTTCCGTGTGCTGCTCTGGTTCGCCAGAAGTGGCTTAGTCATGCTGGCCACATGACCCGGAAGCTGTACGCCGGCTTCCTCGGCCAATAAAGCGAGATGAGCGCCACAATCCCAGAGTCGTCTGCGACTGGTCCTAATGGTCAGGGGTCCCTTTACCTTTACCTTTATCATCTTTCCACTTGTTCTTCTCATTTCCAGGTGAAACCTACTCAGCTCCTTATACTGTTTTTCAATGGACTTCTTTTTCATACCCTTGACCATTTTTTGCTGCCCTCTTTTGAACCCATTCCAGTTTATCCTATTTAAAGTGTTACATCCGGAACTGGGCATAGCACTCTAGTAAGAAAAGTAGCAGAATGTCTTATACTGAGTCAGACCATTGGTCCATTTGGTTTAATTCTACACTGACTAGCAGCTGGGTTTAAGACATGGGTCTTTCTTAGACCTACTTGGAGATGCTGGGGATTGAACCTGAGAAATTTTGCATGCAAAGCTAATGCTCTACCGCTGAGCTACAGTCATTCACCTAAGCCTTGACAGATGAGATTTGACTAGTGTGGAAGTTGACTGGACAGTCTTGGGAAAGTCTCTCAGCTTACCTACCTCACAGGGTTATTATGGGTTTAAATCTTCCATTGAGGAGGGGCAGGAAACCAATAAAGTATATATGGGGGCAGACATTCAACCAGGACCACAAAAAACAGAACAAAACTATACTAAACATTGGCTGGATATGGACTTAAAAGAGAGAAGAATTAATTTGATCCACAATTGAAAATCTGGCTTCAGAGGCCTAGGCCTATCAAAATAGATTGAAATGTCCAAATTAAGCTGAAGTTGATCCCTCTGTGGTCCTATCAAAATCAGTTTCCAGCAATCCTGCATCATTACACATTTTTTTGTGCCAAGAGAAACAAATTAAATTGTTTTAGAGCGTTAATGTTTGGGTATTTATTATTTTTTTAAAAAAAGAAGGAACAAAGGAAAAAGGAAGGGGGCTTCCCCACCGAGAGACATTTTATGAACAAAATTAAGTATTATAAAACCGTATTATTAAAATCTGTCGAAAAAGGTATTAATCTTGTTAGACTGGCACACAGAAGCCTTGGGTTTTCTGTAATTACAGCTTGCCGTAAACTTAACCTTTTACAATATCTTCTGCTAAATATAACAGGGAAAGTTCAAGTTCTCTGGTGAAGAGGGTGGGTGGGGGAAGAATGAAAGGAAGGAGCCAGCAGGCCATTAATAGATCATCCTGTTATTTATTAATTTATTAAGTGTTGACAAGGTGTTCAGTATTACACAAGGCTTGACATGAACACAAGCCCTTGCCTAATTAGCTACAATGACAGAAGGAAATACATTTGCTCATGAGCATTGGAGCAGAGAGCTTGGCGTTAGAGCCAACACTTAGCCTAGGCAAGTGTCAGAAATTGCATTTCATCTGAATGGCATATCAGGCATTTATTTATTTCATTATTCTACTCGCTTCTGGGGAAACGGTGGCAAATTTTCAAACTGGCACTAGATTTTTACAAAAAGCAAAACCCAAGGCAAACAGAAGGGCAGGGATGATCAGGAATTCTTTGAAAATATAACAATAAATTCTGGGCACATTTACACCATACTTTTAAAGCACTGCAATATCACTTTAAACAGTCACCTAAGAAATTCTGGGAGCTGTAGTTTGGCAAACCCTCTCTGTGATCAACTCCCGCCTGGAAACTTATATCCCCACTGTGGAAGGACGTGTGGATCCAGAATTGGCCTCCACAGTCACTTATGGACTCACTGTTAAGACCATGTTCATGGAAGACCATCTGCCTCGGCTACGAGTGAACACCAATGAAGATGAGAAGAGTTTATTCAGGATGCTGAGAATAGTTAGGAGGCCCCTCTTCCCCTCACAGAGCTTCCCCTCACAATTCTCAGAATGGCTTAACAGTCAATCACATGGAACTGGGAGAGAGCTGGGAATGAGTGGATAAGCTGAGTTTTTTGAATTGCCAGTAAATAGTTATTTTACATTTTTGTAACGCATCTATATCTCCAAGAAGACTCAGGGCTACTGATGTAGAGAACAAACAGGCATGGCTCAACTCACAAGAGTATTTCCTCCAATAATAGTAGAATTCACATGCTTCATAAAGAACCAAGACAAAGTGGGTCATGCTTTGTGGTCACAGGCACACCATCCTCCCAACCTGGATTTGGACCTAAAAGACCAAGGTAAAGGGTGAGGGTACCCATGCAAGTACAATCGGTGACATTGCACAACATCATTGCCAATCATGGGTTGCATCTGCTTTGGCATCAGCCTTAGCTTCTTTAGACCTCCAATGAAGTTGAACATTGGAAGGTTCAAGACAGATAAAAGAAAGCACTTTTTCATGCAGCGTGGAATCTATGGAATCTTCTCCCACAGAAGGCAGTGATGGCCACCAACTTGGACGGCCTTAAAAGAGGACTGGACAAATTCATGGGAAAGATGGCTATCAACTATTACCAGTCATGATGGCTATGGTCTGCCTCCATGGTCAGAGGCAGCTGGAAACCATGAGAAGGGAGAATGCTCTTGGGCTTGGGTCCTGCACATGACCTTCCCATAGGCATCTGGTTGGCCATGTGAGAGCAGGATCCTGGACTAAATGGGCCGTTCTTATATTCCTGTTCCACAGATCTGAGCCAACACAAGACAGCCATAACTGATCTTAAACAGCCAAGGTTTTATTCTAATTGCTGAGCACGATTTCCCTTTGGCTCTAGGAAATCTCACCAAAATCTTAGGGCAGCCCATATAACCATTCAGGTTTGGGGGGTCTTACAGAGTCTTCTGGTTGTCTCATGATGAAGCCAGCCACAAATATGCCTCCCTGACATTTTGAACTTGGAGATGTATGGAAGCAAAAACAGCACACCGTCCAAGGAAATAAACAGTTCGTAATTGCTAATGTTTCACTTCGGATAAGTAAAAAAGCCTGAGCACATTAAATTATATATAAAAAATAGATTTCACTTCTAGTTTAAATACAGCTGCAGTAATTCTTATGTGCTGCGCAGCTGTTCAACATGCTGGCAGCTGTCCATATCTTATGTGTCCTATCATGCATTTTCCACTATTGTCTTTTTTTGACAACGTAAAGAATGCATCTTTAACTCTTGGGGGGAAAGCAGTTTGATCATTTTCCTCCCCAGGTAGATTTTGCCACAGACTTTAATACATTTTCAGCTCTACGGTCTTTTCACCCATTAAACACCTTCAATCAGCCCATTCTGAATTCTGTATGGAAAGGCGTAAGTAGCATTCTCTGTTTGGCTTGTGTCTGATCAGCAGATTTTGCAAACAACGCCCTTCTTTCACAGGTCTAGTTTGTGTGCTTTTGGGGTAGTGATTGAATTCCTGTGCCGAATGGGCAGGCACACCCCCTTCCAGCCATGTGACATGGAGGGCTGTGTGTACAGAGGTATGGGTTTCTGAGTGTTTTGGACAGTGTCAGTATCAGTAGTCAAACACTGATGTTTTGACTAAATTTCAGGGGATTGGACTAGATGACCCTTAGGGTCCCTTCCAACTCTACAATTCGGTGATTCTATGACTGATTTCTTTCCCAAGCCTTCCAAGAGAGTTTTGAAACTCAAGAACAACTTTTTTCGTAACACTGAATGTTGGTTGAAATCCTCACTCAGATATAAACTTATTGGGTAGCTAAAGGAAAATGTATTCATTTAGCCTATCCAATGAGTTTGTGATGAGACAAAAAAAGGGGGGGTATCTCCCAAGATCCATGGGAGAAGGGGAACATATAGCTGGTAAATAAATAACCATGTTTCATCATTTCTGTGTTTGTGCAACTGCTTTAATTCTTTTCCTTCTTAGTCCCTTTTCCAAGCCATCAACAGCCACCCTCACCACTTCCTTGCTTTCTTTGGTATACATCTTCAAAATACATATAGACAGTTATCATGTCACCCCTTTAGCTATACACATTTCCCTCTTTTAATCTTTCTCCATAAATCAATCATTCAATTGCTGAGTCATTTGTCTTACTTTTGAATTCTCACCAGAGCTTCTCTTATCTTTTGGAGCTACACAAAACACCACAGCTAAACTCAAAACAGTGATATTACGGCCAAAGTCTTATATTTAGCTCCAGTTGGACACAATAGGACTGACTTCTATGTAGGCAGACACAGGACTGTACTGCTGGTACCTCAATCCAAAAATGACCTGATCAGGTCAGAGCTGGAGCCAGCCTCCCACAGAAGCCTTCATGTACCTGTGCCCTCCTGCTGTTTTGGACTACAACTCCTGGGCTCGCTGGGACTGGTGGGATTTGTAGACCAAAGTATCTGAAGGGCACCAGGTTGCGGAAGGTTGTTCCACAGCAACATGCACCAATGAGAAAAGATTTCACCTGAAGCAAGAGGAAGTCCTCTCTTTTCTATAAATGCAGTGGTTAACATGTGGTTGTCATACATATGAAGAAATGTATTTGGAATTTGAGATGACCCTCAAACTCACCTGCCACCTGTTTCAAGACACTAATCTAGAACGAAGACTCTGCAGCACTTTTTAAAATGGCACATATGGGATAAGGCAGGCCTTCAGCTAAGCTGTGTGTGTCACAGGAGCTGCCCTATGCCCATAAATCAAACACACTGCCCTCAGATATGGTGGACGACATTGGCTTGGGTTGAAGGTAGATTCACCTGCCAGTCCAGTTGGCTTCTGTACAGGGAATTGAGTGGGTGAATATTGTGTGTCATATTTTCTCCTCAGACTTCGACAACAAAATGTCCTTGGACACTAAATTAAATTAAAACTCAAGTCCCATTCTGCCGTTTCCAGCAGGATTTGGAATAAATAAATACTTAGCCCTAAGTTTGACAGATGGGATGCGGGTGGCGCTGCGGTCTAAACCACTGGCCTTGGGCTTGCTGATCAGAAGGTCGGTGGTTAAAATCCCCACGATGGGGTAAGCTCCTGTTGCTCGGTCCCAGCTCCTGCCAACCTAGCAGTTCGAAAGTACACCACTGCAAGTAGATAAATAGATACTGCTCCAGCGGGAAGGTAAACGGTGTTTCCGTGCGCTGCTCTGGTTTGCCAGAAGTGGCTTAGTCATGCTGGCCACATGACCTGGAAAAACTGTCTGCGGTCAAACACTGGCCCCCTCGGCTTGTAAAACGAGATGAGCGCCACAACCCCAGAGTCGTTTGCGACTGGACTTAACTGTCAGAGGGCTCTTTACCTTTAAGTTTGACAGAGGAGCAGCAACTCCGAGCAGTTTGTGTGTTGAGGAAATTTCATCCTCTTCAAAGGCAAAACAGAAGCCGGGAGAGTCTATTTATAATTTGGGGGATTTTTGAAATCATAACTCTTTCATTAGAAACTGCCTTAAGCCCACAGACGTGGCAATCAAACACTGTAATATCCGGTGTCATGTGAGAAGCACCTTCTGTATTTTAGCAAACATCATCAAAGGGTTTAAGTTGAAATTAGGTGTGTTTTCAGAAATGTGCTCATGGT